GTCTTATATTTATCTCTTTCTCCACCGCTCCCATTCTCTATTTTCTTTCCTTCTCTTCTCCCTTGCCCATACTTTATAGACACCCATAGCCATAACTGACAGCTCTTATATACTCCCAAGACCTATGTAAAAGTTAAGCTAACGTGTCCTTTCAAACAGAGGCTGGGGAACACTAACATCCTATCAGGATGTTAGGAAAGTGATTCCTGGAATTAGTAAGAGTGTGAATTGGATAATGTTTCAAATCTCTTTTGGTAGGTCTAAAAATCTCAAAAAGAACTCATAACAAATTTCTCCACTTTGTAAGTTCAAACTCTCAAGCATCCATATTAAGATGAGACTGAAATACTCAAAAGCACCAGGAACAGAATTTTAGAGCTAGAAAGAACAGTAAGTATAGTCTAGCTCTTTATTTTACAAATGAGGGATATGTGACCTGGACCACTGAAGTTTCCACATCTAAAACAAAAAAGGCATAAAGATGTAAATAAAAATAGTAAGTAAATTATAAAATTTGAAATCAGAAAACTTGAATTGGAATCCTATTTTATAGGATTCCAGCTCCGTCGTCATAAATAAGTTTCAATTTCCTCAACTATAAAATGAGATAAAAAATACAATCTAGCTAACCTATTTCATATGACTGTAGCAAAAGATAAATATATATGTATGTAAGTATATATACATATATACCTGAAATAATGAATACATGTGTAGTGTATGTATATATACATATATATACATATTTATTATCATTAAAATAACAGAAACACAGTAGGAAAATAAGCACAGAAATGTCTTTTTCTGTATACTTCTGGATAATTGGTCATTGTAATTCTATAAATCAAAAAAAGAAAAAAGTACTTTATCTCTCATAAGAGAAATTGAACCTGCTGGGGAATTTGAATGAAAATCATAGACTGAGATTTTAAATAAAAAGTATAAAATATATTTTAAACTTTTATTGTTAAATAGATATAATTTCTATATACAATTTAAAATATACTAATATATTTAATATGTAATATTAAATATTTATATCATGTGGAACTACACATTAAGTTTTATAATACATGTATTTAACACATTTAACTATCAGAAATTATGAGAAAATACAAAAATACTGAAAGCAGATGGAAATAAATCAGGAACAACTAGGGGGAGAAACATACAGAACATAACTCAATAGAGGTAACAAAGAGTCCAGGAATATCCCAGTTCGATGTAAAGGGACATAAAAACCAAAAAGGAATCCTGAGACACACACTGATTTGCAAAGTACACATAAGGATAACTGAGCCCGAAGGCCCAGCTTCCGCCTCTAAGATTCTCGCCAGCAAAAAAAACAGGGAAGCAAAATAGTTCCCTGGCAGCAATCAATACATATCCACCATATCACCTTTCACGGTGATTGAATTATAGCTGCGGACACGACCAAACTACACTCCCCAGCCTCCTTTGCAGCTAGGTAAGGCCATGTTAACAACATAAAGTCCCCATCCCCTTAAAACTTACAATCTGGTGATTTAATAAAGAGGTATAAAAGTAATTCTTAATGATACACAGGATAAGGATAATGGTACTTAAAATCCATTGAAAATCTACAAGTTTTGCTTTGAACATAAATGTTTACAACAAACCTTTTAGAAAAGACCAACATAAATTATTCTGTAAGAAATACAAAATGGCCACAGGTGGTAGCAAATAATTTTAAAAAGTGAATTAAAAAGCAGTGTTATACCATCAATATCAAGAGTTAAATGAACTAAAACTCAATAGCAACCATTGCAGTTTTGAAAAGACTAAGAAAAAACAGATATAAAATAGAATATAAACACCATTGAGTAGATTCTTTCACGCTTTGCAAGTTTTAAAGACTACAGAAACAAAAAGCTCTAAGAAGTAGTGAATAAAAATCACATCAATTAACAATGAAAATCTACAGAGTAGGTACTTCCACTCATTATATGAGTGATACTGTAATATTATATAGATCCTACAAATAAATTCTGTGTGCAAACATCTGCTTAAAAAATATCAAAATGTTTAATTACAAAAACACTTTATAATTATGACAATTGAAATGCTGTTTACAGATGTAGTGTTGATATATTAGCCCTAAGTGATTTCTAAAGAATCACCATAAAAAAATCACCAAAAAAAAAAAAAAGACTGAAAAAAAAAATATGCTGTACAATGTAAAATCTTTCATCCATGGTTCATAAAGTGGAAAATAAACATTTACTGAGTCATTTAAAATCTTTGTGAGGTAATTATTACTGTATTAATTTTAACACACGGATGAACTAAAACACAGGAAAATCAAACAGCTTACCTAGAGATAAAAAGTAATTTCCTAGAAGTACCATATAAAATTCTGCTCTTACCATGAAAATACTTTCATTAACTGACTAATAAAGTATTTTAGTATTCCTTCTAGAATTAAGTTTAATGATAAAGCTAGAAACAGACTTACTAAGAATTATATTATCCAAAGATGAAGATGATTTTATTTTTCATTTTCCCCAAATCAAGAAATAAGAAATCTTAATCTCTATGACTTGTGCTTGATATAGATCCATGCTTTTAACTTGATAAATTTACTAAAATAGCTATACGACGTCACTTTGTCAATTAATAACATATTAATTTAAATAATACGATCAGTTGCCCCAAAAAGGAAGGGCTCTTGTATAAAATAATTTTTTAAAAATTTAACTAATTAAAAGTAAGTTAGATTTAATACTTTAAAATACAGTCAGTAATTTAAGCTCAGGTATATATTCAAATGTCTCTGATACTGGAAATATGAACCACAGCAGGTCTTCAAATGGCATCATATAATTCAACATCTTTTTATTATAACTTTGATGAGAAAAAAAAAAATTAATGATGGCTTCCCGCCTAGGGCTGGTTCCTACCTTGTACCCTGAGATGCCAGGAAGGATAGGCTACCACCAACCCTGAAGTGTAATAATTATTCCAGTTAAATAATTACCTTGATCTTTCTAATTTTCCTTAAATTTATATATAGCTCACATTTATTTCAATGTTTAATATTAGAAATGTTTTCATCTTTATTTAGAAGTTTGGTGATGTTTCTTTGACCAGAAATATGCTGTAGGAACTTAACTCTTGTTTATATCAATTAACCTAGACCCCAAAAAAGTGAAGGAGAAAGTCATACAAATATTCAGGAAAAGAACACTCTAGGTAGCAGGAGCAACATGACGGCAAATCCCTCAGGGAGGGATTTACTTGGCTTTTTGAGAAAGAACAGGCAAGAGCAGTATGAGGGGTGGCTAGAGCAGTATGAGGGGGAATATGGTAAGAAATGGGGCAGGAGACGGAGCAGAAGGCCCATGGTAGGCCTTGTTGGCTACAAAAAGAATTCCGGGTTTTTCTCAGAAAGAGATAGGAAGCCTTTGGAGAATTTGGATGAAAAGGTGTCATGATCTGACTCACTGTTTTAAAGAATCATTCTGGCTGCTACAAGGGAAACAGACTGTGAGGGACAGGGATCGGGGTACTGGAAGGAAAGGAGGGAGGGAGGGAGGGA